GTTGCATTAGATTATTTCCCAAATTTTTAATAGAATTTCGTAAGCAAAGAGAGAAGTCAAAAAAAATTTATTTTAGTTTCAATAAACTCCAAATTTTAGAGACTCGGGATATTTTGACACTAATTTCATGATTTTGTGGTGCAAGAAATGAAGTAGAAAGATTAAAAATTATTGATCGTATTTTGAAAAATAAAAAAAATTAAATATGGCAAGTGCAAGGGAGGGGGCTAGGCTGCTCCCACCCACGGTCCCGAGCCAACTTGGGCAGTTTTGGGCCGGCATACATACACATGCATCTAGAAAAAAAATTGAGTAGTTAACGTTGTGAACACGTGTATATGTGCACATGTGAATACCGTGTACATATATACACACATGTTCATTGAGTATATGAAAACTGTATAGTGTGTCAAGGGACGTATTTCTACATTTGCATCTCTTGACACACAAAGCGTCCTCCTTAGAGGTGGACACAAAAAAGTGGTGGTCCCACCACAAGAACATAATTACAGTAAAAAATTAATCTTCAAAAACCATTTCCTTAATTTTTAAAATTATATTACTGTTCATATTAACGATCCTGATATTAGAGATTATATATTTCTCAAAAATTAAATTAAAAAATCATCTAAAATATAGATCATTGGGAGAGGACGCACATCTATATGTGAGTCCGCCGACTCATATAAACCATGTCCTTTATAAAGTAAGTGTCCATGTTCATTAAGCATAACCATGGTTAAGGAGATGGTATTCCATTGCCAGCTTTGAGATTCTTTCCCCTTTGCATATGTTCAATTTTGAGATAAGTAAATAAATAAACGATTATTCAATGGCGTAAGGATAAAGCCGAACCAGATGCCCCTTCATACATATAAAAACTTATACATCTACAATTAGCTCGTCTTTCAGGGTCTTGGCTCTTCTCTGACTCTCCTCCTCATCTCTGCCCTTCAATCATTCTGAGCCCATGGTATGGACTAGAATTTTTTTTCCTTTTTTTTTTTTTTTTTTTTGTAGTTCAGTATTAGGTATTAACTTGAGATGTAATGTTGTTAAACTTCAGCTTCTAACCAATCAAGCCCAAGTCCGATTCCTATGGTTTGGATTTTCTTGTCTCCTCTTTCTTATGGTCATAATTGTAAAATTATTTAGATCCTGACAAGGGCGGTGAGTTTGCTCTTCCAAAATTCAATCTTGGAGATGGATTTTGGCTGTAAAATTTATAGATTTATTCCTCTCGACTACCATTATTATGAATTTGAAAAAAAAAAAAATTGAACTTTAAAAATAGTATGTCTTGTACTCTTTTTTTACATATGATTTCAACTCCTCAGAGATCTTAGAGCTTCAAATTCATGAATTCGAAGCAGAAATGGATATGTAGTGATTCATTGTGCATTTAGAATTGTAAAGCACTTGAAAACTAGGGAAAGACACTCACAAGAACTCTAGCATCAGCTGTAATTTGTGAGTAAATTATCTTTTTCCTAGAACTTTTGGATGGATTATAGCAGAAAACTCTCCTTAGATTTTAGAATTTGTGTGTGCACTACTTCCCATGTAAATTTTATGTTGATTTTTTTCTTATATTTCTTCATTTCACTAGAAATCTATATTGTGGAGTACATAACTTCTTAAATTTAATGTACTTTCATGCGTTATCGTGTTTTTTGTAATTTCCTAGAGCTTACCGTTATCAAGATTAGAGCCGACCAGTAGAGCCAACTAGTTGGACCATTGGCTAGTGCTTTGGTTGATCTGGTTCAAAACAAAAATCAAATTTGGTAAAAAAAACGATCAAACAGATATTTCTATAATTTTGACTAATTGGACCGTCCAATTCTAACCTGTTATATGGGTTAAATAAAGTCAAATAGCCTTTTTGCTAAAAATATTTTATATATTTAAGTTATTATTCTTATTTTTTATATTTTAAAATCCAATCCAACAAAGTTGATGAGCAATTAAACCAACTTTGACTAAACCCCTTCTCGCTTTGGTAGCTTGTCCATAACACTTACTCTCAACCCTCTTTTTCTTTTTTCTTCTAAATGAAATAGTTTTAAAATATGAGATATTTTAAAAGAATTGGCAAAACTTATTTAGCTAGTTAATCATGTCAATACTGAATAATTCAACTAATTAAAGATCAAATCGAGTTTTTACTTTGGAATAGACCAGCCCAGGGACCAGCCGATAATCCACTTAGTCATACTAGCTAAGCCAATCTTGATAACTATGATTAAAACATATGAAAAGAGCGGTTTGGCTAGCGTAAGTAGCATTAAGGAAGTTATGAGCTAAGAGCTTGTTTGGAAGGCGTGATCTAGACACTTCATACAAATCTATTTTGTTTGGGATCGGAGAAAAACATGTATCCAAACTCACACCACCCTTCCTGCAAGTGGGTTTCATGAATAACATTCCTTACTCTAGAAAAATCACTCCTTGTTGAATGCCGAATAATGCGAGTGCAAGTCTATAAATCAAGCTTCAGTTAGTCGGATTGGGCTTGAGATTCAAGCTTTGTGTGTGGCGAGTAACTTGGGTGAGTCCATGAGAGAGAGAGAACCCCACAACTTCTGAATAATTTCCTTAAGAATTTTGAGTGAATGAGAATACTAAAAACCACTCCAATGTGAATGGAAAGGTGAGGATGCTTCAATGGGAATTTCACACAGTAGAAGTGGTTTCTTTGCACCTACATCAACTTTAAGCTTAGGGATTTCTTTGATTCAGCCGAGTGACTCGTATGGGCGAGGCCAAGTTTCCCTTAGGGATTTCTTTGATTCAGCCGAGTGACTCGTATGGGCGAGGCCAAGTTTCCCTCAGTTGTATGTAGAATTCTGGGATATTAGAAAAGGAAAGCAAAAAATTTAAAAAAAATATAAACATGTGGGACTTATCTATCATTTTTTTTGCATATTCTATATGTTTTTGATAAAGATTGGTTAGTATTTTTTTTGACATAAGTCCCTATTTTTATATTTTACATCTGTTGGATTTTATTGACCCCAATTTTATTTTATTTGTTTTGCTTTTAATGCATTTTTTTTTATTTTTTGAACTTTTTTTTTTTTCCAATTTATTGAGGGATTCTCAGCCCTCTCAATTAGGACTCTGCCTAGTTACTCGACTTGACCAACAATCGAGTACTTAGGCCGAGTCGATTCTTGAAAAATTGAAAACTCTTGATCCATACATTGATTTATTGTATGAATTGTAGGGTGAGGAGGAGCGTGAAAGGACGTCTAGGAAGACCATCAAAGTTGGGCCATGGGGTGGCCATGGGGGCTCACCTTGGGATGATGGCTCCTTTAATGGTGTGAGACAGATAACGCTTGTGTATGATCGTTGTATAGACTCAATACGTGTGGAGTATGATAAGAATGGGAAATTGGTGATGGCAGAGAAACACGGCGGTGATGGAGGCAATCGTACGGCTCATGTAAGCCTATTCATTGATCTCCCATTTCTATACGCTTTCATGCATATAGACAAGATGCCATTTTCGTTTTACATTTTTGGCAATTAAGAGAAATATAAATGTACGTTGGGATTGGAAAAAAGATGTGGCATTACCGCATGGTTCAAATTTTAGGGCATGCTTTCGAATAGTTCTTACTTTTTGGGCAAATTCTCATAGTTATGGCCATCTGAATGATCCTTCAGATTTGATAGATCAAATTTGCTAAATAAAAATAGGACCATCAAAGATGTCATTATTCTACTAGGTTGGTAACATGCAGGAATACTCTCAAATGTATTTTTTGATAAATAACTTACTCTTATATGTATGTATGAATGTAGGTATGTATTTGTTATCTGTTTGTGTGCATGTATCTGTTTGTGTGCATGTACACACACACAATTGAAATATAATGGATAGATAATGGGAGTGAGTAACTTCGATAAGCTCATGAACCGATGGAATGGTTTCGATGGTTTGAGCTCAAAGGCTCAGATTAAATGCATCTAGTTTGATTTGATGGCCATAATGTTAGCACAATATTTAATTTTTACCTTTTATAAATCTAATGGACCTTAAGCTTTTGAGGCACATTTGCTCAACCTAGGTGCACTGCAAAATTAAGTTATAATATGCAAAAAAATCATAATACTCCTACCCTGCTACCAACAAGTAGGGTTATATTGGTCTTTTTTTCTTTTTGAATTCTTTGGTGCATGAAAGTCATTCCCACATGCCCCTAAAATTACAGATTAAAACATATTATGAAAAAAAATCAAACATTGTCGACACACGTTGATCATTGTATTCATCAAGATTGAATCTAAACCGTTAGGCTGATGCTATTCTATCACAAGCTAACAAAATCTTTTTCCATATACAAATCCTGCTTATATACACATTGTTTCATTCTTGTAATGCAAATGATAGAGAAGTAGCTTCGACCAAGAATAATTCCATCTCAAACCACACTCCTTGCTACACTGCAGATAAAGTTTCAGTATCCAGAAGAGTTCATCACAGGAGTCAGTGGCCACTATAGTCCGATGGTGCACAGCGGCACCCCAGTGATCCGGTCTCTGAAATTCGCCACCAACAGGAAGACTTACGGCCCCTACGGAGTGGAGGAGGGCACTCCATTCTCATTTCCCATGGATGGGGGCCACATTGTTGGATTTAAGGGTAGGAGCGGGTGGTATCTCGACGCGATCGGATTTCGACTATCACGCCTCCATTCCTCGTCTAACTTGTTTGATGCCATACAACGAAAGATTCAGAAGGCCTGGGCCTCACACAAAAGGCCCACAAAGGCAAGTGTTGTATAGGTTCTCCTTAGGAATGCCCTGTGTGTGTGTCTATCTCGCAATGTGTCTAATACTGAGTTGTTTTAATAAAGTTTAGCAGCACATTGGTATGGTTTTATGCTCATTTTTAGTGTGTTTCATTTTCCAACGTGGGATAGAAAAGGTTGCAACAAAAGGCGGGTACCCTCATGATCTCTCTGGTGCCATGGCGCATGAGTAAGGGACCCCATTTGAAGGAGGATTCATTTCAAGGGTTAGAACCTTGAAAATTTGTTACAGACACACCATGGTAACCTACTATTTTAGGGTTCATGCTCTTAGCTTGCTGGACATGGCACTGAGTAGGGTCTTGAAATTAGAATCAGACCATCAGTTGTCTGTGGATCGATTCTGAATCATAGTGTTAAAAATTTAATGGTGATCCTTTGAGATCCTACTCACATGGGTGCGGGAGGGTCTCATAGTATCATTACTCTTCCAAAAACCACGTTTTTCATAAATCAAGCATGTCCTTAATGTGCCTCACCTATGTTGAAAAATAATTACAAAAAAGTTATCCACGCCATAAGACAATTGAGGAAGATGATGGGAATTTTAGCATCCAATGTATAGCATCATTATGAATATTCCATAAAAGCCCTTGTTTTGAAGTTTGAATGAAATAATTCTCACATATGATTTTAGCACATTTTCTTGAAGCTAAATCGCAGGCATCCCAGTTTTGAGTGAGGAGGTATTTAGGAGGATTTTTTTTTATTTAAAATGTATCACCCACTTAATAATCACCATAGGATTATTTAAAAAAAAAAATTGAAATAATTAGAGGGAAAATGGTTATATAAAGGCAAGGCTCTAAACAATCAAACTAAGGCGTGCCTCAAAAATTCAATAAAATGGGTTGTTTTATATTGAAAAACCTTTAATACGATCATCTCGACATCAGATGTATTGAAAGATAAAAATAGATTTCAAGTCTTGAAAAAAATGCATTATGTGATGTATTATCTAGACTATTAGTTTTCGATATTTCAAGTGCTCATAGATCTGCTCGATTTACACTATTTTTTAATCTTTAAATTTTATAATCAGAGATAAAAATAAGTTTTCAGACTATCATAAAGATTTTTATACTAAAACATTGTATTTTGGTACTATTTGAAAGTGTGCTTTGTTTAGAGCATCGGCTATATACAAACCACACCCATACTTAGATCTAAGGGAAAATTTCATATAGAATCCTAATTCCTCATATTATTTTATGGTAGACAAGGGGCGAAAGAAAAAAGGAAAGAGAATCTATCATAAAATAGTACGAAAAATTATGGTTCTATACGAAATTTTCTCTAGATCTAACCATAAAAAATTGAATGGTTTTCAGGAACTCAAAGAGTTAGTTTGAATTTGTTTATTATGCTTTGCACTTCCATGGCCATGTCCTATTTGCTTTATACCGCTATTCATTTTGGACAGAAAAGGAATAACTTTAGTTCTTTGGATGATTTAGGGGGAAGTTTCGTATATATCTCTGAAGCTAAAGAAAAGATGTATAACTTGTTACTATTGTAAAACTTTTTAATATAAAGGCTTATCTTATAAAATTATGAATATTATGAGTTATACTTTTTAGAATTTTAAATATTTTATGGATGCTTTTATGTATAGAAAAAGTTTATATAACATTGTAATTTTAAAATGTAAAATTAAGGTGTACTTCAAAAAACAATAATAAAAGGCCATTTTGATATTGGAAAACCCTCTAACATATCATCTCAACATCAAGATGTTTGAATATGAAAGGAAAAAAATATTTCGAGTCCCAAAAATAATGTATCTTGTAACACATTATTTGGACCATCAATTTTCAATATTTTTATATGTTTATTGATTTGAACCATTTTTAGAGTTTAAATTGTATAATTCAAAATCAAAATTGATTCTCAAGCCATCGTAAGAATTTTTAGTTATATTTATGACAAAATGTAGAGGCGTGTCTTAATTTGATTGTTTAAGGTGACAACCTTATGCAAACCACACCATTATGTAAATAGGGGGTGTTTTTTGAAAATTTCATTGTTATATTTTTGTGAGTTCACTTCACTTTTGTTTTGGGCCTGAAACACAAGGCTTTGCCCTGTTTTGGGGGAAGAGAAGAGACTTGGTATAATTACCGGAGGACCTTGCCGGAATGCCCATCAATGAAATAAACCAGGCTAAATGCCCGTTCATCAACTCCAAAAGGCCCTCAAGATTAGAGACAAAAATTATCATAAAGAAAATGATTTTGTTGACTGAGAGGAGGAAGGATATTGTAATGTGGCATCTCTTACTCATAAGCACAATATAAAGCTGCATATTAGAAAAGAATAGATGACCATTGACAATGTTAATTTTGTGTTTTTACTTTTTTATTAAATAATAGATAATACCTAAATGGCATTTGAAATTACCCTACATGATTTGTCAAGTCAATATGGCGATTGACTGCTGTTGAAAATAAAAAAATCTGATTTAAAACATGACTTAATCCTTTCACAACTTAATCATGAATGGGGATCTAGAAATTCTTGACATCCTAGAAATGGGTAACTAATCACTTTTGTCCATCCATTGAAGCAACAATTTGTGAAATGATAGCTTCACTTTTATTTTGATTTTTATAACAAAGGTTCAGATAAAATTTGATGTGTTGGT